AATAAAAAAAAAAATATATAAATTAATATTTTTCAGCGGGTGTCCTCAAGCTTTTATCAGACATATCAGTTTATAAAAAAAAAAGCTTTTTTATTCCAATTAAAAGGGGGAAAAGAAAACTTTATGTCTCCACTTAAAAAAAGGGTGTTAAAACATAAATAGACACTTACCTGTGAATCTGTCCCATTTCCTCAGTTGTGCTGTCTCTTCTTTTTTTCTTCCTTCTTTTCTTTGCAAAAAAAATTTAAAAATCATTTGGTAAGTTTGAGGATGAATTTAAATTTAAAGGAAATACTTAAATATATTTCTTTAAAAAATAAATGTATAATAAATTTAAATAATCAAAAAATTTCCTGTTGCATACTTTTCAAAAATTACTTTACATGTATAAGACTGAGCCGGGTACATGTAAAATCGTTAAATACATGAACACATTACTCAAGCACATGCTTTATACCTGTTGTATTTTTTTAAAATAGGGCAAATGACTATATAGTTTGATCAATGATGACCGAAATATACATGCATGCTGGAATTTTAATATGACTAATAATTTGGATCAGTCATGTTCTTAAAAATTATCACTGGTGATTTTAATACACTTAAACCCACATACATTTTTTAACCATGATAAATTTTTAAATTTGTTTAAAATTTTGTAAAAATTTGGTCATTTAATATGTAAAAAAGTTTATTTTCTAAGACATTGCATTTGAACTCTTTCTTAAAAAGCTTTAATGTATCTTGATGGCCCAAAAATTTTCATTTTTAAAAAAATCTGTATTTTACAATAATTTGCATATTAATGTTTTCAGTTTCAAAAAAATTTAATTTTTGATAAAATTTTGCAAAAAAATTTTTTTCAAAATTATTTTCAAAACACACATAATTTTTAAATAATAAAAGCTGATTTCTTTCTAATAACATGGTAAAAACATGTATAAAACAATGTGTACTTTTATCTTATAAACAACAAATTAAGGAAAAACAGATTACTGAATGAAAAATATGCAACTTAATGAACTTTAATATTGCCCAAGTTAAATTCCTTGGGTCAAATTGCATGCAGCCCCAGCACAGTCTATTAACAAAATTTCACTTCTTACATACCAGTATTATACCAAGTCATTAACTTATAGTTTTTATTAAATGTTAAAAATCAATAAATTCCATTTTTTTTTTTTTATTCAACAGAGAAACTGCTAACAAAATGGTCACTACTTACTTTTTACCACATACACACAGAATGAGAAAGTAAACAGAGAGAATCAGCCCAAGCCCCGAGACTGCTAGAGCAGGAAGGAAGTGGGGTCCTGAGGTCTGCTCAGGCATTGTTCTTCCTCTTCACGTCTCCAGCCATCTACAGACAAAGAGGAAGTTCAAACGATTAACGGAAATATAACATATGTACAATATCGTCCCTTTCAAACTGGCCTTTTGATATCATATGACAAAAGACTCATCATTAAATTAAACAATATTATCACATTCTTCATTAAATTAAACAATATTACAAGTATCATATTATGTAAAATTTAAAACTTCTCATTTATGTTAATTTTAAAAAATCCCGTATAACATGTATTAATACAGCAACTTCTTTTATAAATATCCATGACATCTTTTTATACAACAAGCAAGTGCAAGTTTATTATTATAAGGAAGAAAAACTTTGATGGTTGAGTGATCTGTTAAATTACTTTTTCTCAAAATCTTTCCACTGTAAATGAAACCTGATTCATATGTTTACTTAACATAAAGAAATCCCTTACTTAAATGGAAGGAGTTCACTTTTTGAGGAATTTTAAAATCTCAAATTATGACTTCATCCTCCCGCAGTCATTTGCTGGATATCTTCAGCATGTCTTGTTATATTTCTTACATATATCTGAAATGAATGGAAAAAGTAGGTCAGTGTGAACGAATAGATTGATAACTTAAAGATGAAAAATGTGGAATGTGTAATATCTATATAATCATAGATAAATGTGTGATATCTTCATGTATACTATCTTGTTCATAAAGGCTGTTTTTTTTTTTTTTAAATAGAGCGCTACTGTGGAAATTGCATAACTTTTTACATATCTAAACTTTTTCAAGAGTATTCATGTACATTGTATTAGAAATGATTATACACAGATTAAAACATGAAATATGAGACACAACCCTTAGTTCTCACATTGAGTCTGAATGATACTGCATTCAAAACAAGAATTTAATTTCCCTTTTCATAGAATTAAATAAATTTGCTTTTATTTTCAGCACAAATTTAAAACATGCTAATATACGGCAAAATTAAAACAAACGTACAGGAATCCTCTGTTGTATGCAATAATGATTGAAAAACATCTAAAAGGGAAAAGGGCTGTCAACAGGTCAAGATGGACAAAGTCATATGTTCATAAAATTGGCAAGGAAATTTTAACCACAGATAAAATTTTTTTTTAATTTGTTGCTAGAAATTTGTGAAATTCCACTATACATGTAAAGTATATGAATTATCACAAGGCTATTCAATCAGACCGATTGCTTCCCAAACTATTTCCTTAAAACACTTTTGGCCACTTGAGGTACTAAATTAATACAACTGTAATATGCCTTTCTTTGCACTAATTTTCCTGCCATATGCTCTTGTATTTTTTAAATACATATCTCCCACCTAACAAATGATTGGCTTACATACTATACATACTAATGTCAACCAAACATCTGAAAACAGGTCTATTTGAAAAAAAAAAAAACATATGTCACTGAATGTTTTTAAATCAAGAATACAAAACATAACTAACAGCTGTTTAACATGTTTAAGCCATATTTAGGTTTCTATAAAAGCAGTTATCACTGCATCATATCTAAGACTCGGGGAGAGTCATTCACATTTTAACACTGTATCCTAAATATATGCATTACTGAGATTCAAAAGGTTTTAAAATTGCATGGTTCAGTTACAAAACACTAATGCACACAATCCAATATCTTAAAATTCTCTGTCTTACATACATTTGGTGAAAACATTCTCTAAAACCAGTCTTTTGAAGAACACACCCATGAATATCCACAATACATGTATATAAACAGGTAAATTCCAGGTAGTCAACAACCTTACTGTTTATACCTGGATGAAATCTATATTTACAAGGAAATACCAATGTTAATATGTCCACGGATCTCTGTGTTCAGCTACAACATAGTAAAAGGGAAATCCAAAACCTTTTTGTGGGAAAAATTAGCAAATCTTTACATGAAAAACAAATGTCAAAAAAATTATCTCTCAAGGTTTATCGTATAGCTTTAAAAATACGTCTTGCTAATAGGACATATCAAAAGTGTTATAATGTCACAAACTGCAAAGGACGATAAAAACATTCTTCAATTTCTATCTGCATATTTAAAATTATTCAAAATAAAAAAACATCTTGTCAATTGGACATATCAGAATTGTCACATCACAAACTTATATTCATAACAAATACTTCAATTTACGATGCATTTATAATTTTTAACTTAACAAGTTTCCCCCATTCATTTGACAAATCATTTAACAATTTTATATCTGAGTTTTAAGTCAAAAGAATTAGGGAAGTAAAAACCCTCTCATTTTATTACATTTATCAAATAATAGTTTGCACCATTTAATCGCTGGGCTAATTACTTCACCTGAGATGGTGATTACCTGTGTTGTCCTGTCCCTATGTTTACATACAGGTGAGTCACACAGATCACTGAATTAATCCCCTGATGTGCATTTTAATTAAGTGCCTACCACCAATCCGCCCCAATAAAAGAAATTCACAACTACTGACTCATCCAGGGAAGAACATCTATACTACCACACCACCCTTCATTCTAATATATACAGTTTACAATTTTATCTGTCTGGTTAACCTTCTGTCACTTCAAATCACAAACTCCTTCCAATGCCTTCTATTCAACACAGAATTCTGCAGGCCCAAAAATAAGACAACATCCTTCCTTTTCCTTCAGTGAGATTAAATATCTTCAAGTACATCAAAGAGCATGTTATCTTAATATACTTACACTCCAGAGAAATTACAACTGACCCATGTCATTGAATGAGCTGGGGCCAGATAAAAACAAGTTCTGGGAGAATTCGTCCCCCTATCTAATTGAGTGACCTGCAGAACTCCATCTAGTGTACTCGGCCAGATTTGTGTATTGGTTTGGAATGCCTGTGTCATGCGGTTCCCAGCGAGTTAATGTCTCTCTCATTGACAACTATAAAGGCCCGTTTCACGAGACTTAATTACTTTACATTAATTAGTGTACTTATGTGCTCCAGGGTATTTTTAGCATCTCATCAATCGGAGTTTTAGTACATGTATATCACACTTATTTTATGCATTGATAAAGTATTGAGAAGCTGGGACTGATAAGCAAGTAATGTGCAAGTATGTTGAAATTGTAAGCAATACAAATCATGCAAAGAGACCTTGAAAAATCAGAAAGAAACACCTTGCAAAGCTACCTTTTGTTTAATATGAAAAGGCAAAAAGGTTTTGTAAAAAAAAAAATTTTTGGACAAAGAACCTTGTTAAAAAACATGTTTTTAAAACCATTTTTATTCTAGTCCATTATGCTGCTTGCACAACATGAATAAGAAAGAGGAAATTTAACATAGCAGCTCTATGATAACCTAGCGGAGAGGTTATCAGGTTATGTTGATTTTAGGATGTTTAGTGCTACAACAAAAAAATTCGTGTACCAATAACATTAAATAGACAATTTGTTAATATTATTTTTTTTAAATACTGTCAGGTTAATATTTTAAATGTGGAAGTAGGATTACAAATGAAAAAAAAATCAATCCAATATAACTTAAAATTACCAATTTATTTACCTTATACCAAAA